CAATGCCCTCGTCCGTGATCGCTGCGCTGTACTCACCAAGCAGCACAAGCACAGGTTACGTCTGCCGCACACAGCTTCAGTTCCACTAAAGGAATATGGGTGGCAGCTTTGGGAGGTGAGGTCCCCGCCACACTGAGTCCCCCACGGGGTCCTGTTATCACCTCTACAGTCAGCGTTCGAGCACGGTGCAATCGAGTCATTAAAACAAAACAAAACAAAAAAAAAAAAAACCCAAAAAAAAAAACACTAAAAATCACATGAGAATGTTAAAACTTTACAATCTTGTGAGGCCACGTTACCAGCTGTCCAGGGCCACCCAGGCCTTGGGTTGGACACAGCTGCTGGAGGACACTGTGCTCCTCAGGTGTGTAAGAAATAACATTCCCAGACCCAAATACTCGTGCTCAAAAAGCAGTCCTCAGGAGATGAGAGTCGGTGGAAAGAAGAGCATTGTTATTCAAGGTCTGGCACCCTGGGAGGATGGGGAGAGCTCGGGTTCCCCCAAAACAAGACTTGGGAGAACTCACACATGTAAAAGGGCTTTTATAGGGAGGGAAAGGGGAGCCGGGCCACTGGGCAGTGGGAGGACCACACATGGGGCAGGGGCTTCTGTCCCCGGGGGTCTGGAACAGCACGGTGGATATTGAGCCCCAGGGCTCGTTCCTCTGGACAAGGACATGGCACCAAGGCTGGCAGCAGTTTACAGGCATGGTGTTCATTGATGCCCCGGACTGGATAATAAGGCAGGACCACACTCATTCTGGTGAGATCTGAAGGCCATCAGATGTCCTGGCTCCTCTAAATCTAGAGGACAGTTACTTAGCAGTTAATATTTTAATTATTTGGGTGCTTTTCTTTAGAACTACTGTACTCAGTCTCAGGCACTGGGTCATAGGTGCAGAAAAGGCATGACTCTTTCCTTCTTTTGGCCTGGAATGTGACTTGAGACTATAAGTTTGAACATCCAGTGGTGTTAGAGAGCGAGTTTTGTCCACTGGCAGTAATGGCTTTGTTTGCCACACTGGTACTCCACACGTCTGGAAAGATCCTACACACGTGGGGATGCTCGGCCTGGTGCAGGCGCAGGTCTGTCTTTACACTAATAGTTCAAAGGGTTACACACTACATGGCCACAGAGTGACCACCAAGGCATTGTTTTCTAAAATTCTCAGTAAGAAAGACAAAACAAAACAGGCCTCTCTGGAGACACGGCTGCCTCTAGAGATGCACGAGATGATCCCGGAACACCTTGTGATGCCGCAAGTGAGGAAGCTTGGGGTGAAACAGCACACAGTGGGGGAAGGTGGGGGCCAATCGGAAGAGCTGTGCTCAGTGGCCAGTGCTGGAAAAGCTTGAGCAAAATGTGAATAAAATGGTATAAGCTTAGAACTTAAAGTATGAAGTATATATCTGTGAATCATATTGATAAAATATGTGATGAAATAAATACATAGGAAAGCAGAGACTCATCTCACAGGCAGAATTCCGGATTATCTGTGTCAGCACTGTGCCCTCAAGCAGGGATTATAATTCCCTGCTCCAGAAGTGTGGGCTGCACATTGTAACTTCTTCCCAAAGAGTATAAAGAAGGGAAATAGGAGAGTAACTATTGGAGAAGCTTCACAGATTGCACCGTACACGGATGATCGAGGTCAGCATCACCAGAGACAAGTCACAGGCATAAGGCACCCTTGATACGATGCAATGGCCGGAGCAGTTTACCCCTGGGCCCTTCCCCTCAAAGTTCTTCGCCCCAGACTAATTGTGAGAACATTAGGTCAGTCCAACTGAGGGCCACTGTACAACCTGCCTGACCACTGTCCTTCACAGTGGTCTTCCACAGTTCAAGACCAGCAAAAACAAGGAAAATCCAGAGACTGTCATAGCTGTCAGAAGACTTGACAATTAATGTAAACTTAATCCTCAGGAGAAAGATTATATTAGGTGAAAACTAAAGAAATACAAAGTATTAACTAATACTGTATCAATATTTGTTCACCAATTTATTGCAATTTATGTATTTTGGTACTGGGAATCGAACTCAGGACCTTGCACTTGCCAGGCAGGCAGTGTGCCACTGAGCTTTCTCCCTAGTGATTCATCAATTTAATAAATATGCAAGGTAAGATGTTAGCCACAGGAGGAGCTGATATGGACTATATGGAAATCCTGTGTACCACTTTGCAATTTTGTCATCAGTCTCCTCTAAATAAATAAAAGTTTTAAAACTGGCCACCTCTTTGTGGATCTGCTGCACTGAAGAGCCAATGACCATCAACCACAACAGAAATTAAACTGCTGTTCTTGGAGCAGCCACTTAGTCACTGTCAGGGGCTCTTCCAGCACTTTCTCTGAAGTGTTACTGTGCACCTTTAGTCCTCATTCACTTTCACTACCACATCCAGAGTATAAAGCCATCTCAGTAACAAACAGCAAAATCTGATTCTTCACATACTCATCAGGTACCCCAGTGCATGCTGGGCACACCGTGCTGCATTCTGGGAAGACAGTGATAAAAGTCACAGTCCTTGTGGTGCCGGTGCTACAGTCTAGTGGAAGACAAACATCTGCCCAGTGCAAAAACATACATCGAGGATGAGACAGTGGGGCATACGGGGGACAAGATGGTTGCCCTGCCTTAGAGAGAGCAGAGTACAAGAGGTGACCCAAAAATATGGTAAATGCTTAACTTTTAAAAATTTTATTACAGTACAAAACATATTGCCATGAATGACCCACAGAATCCTCCCGCTTCTCTCCAGCATTCATCCCGTCATTCTTGCCTCTTCTGAAGCAGTTCTGGGGTCCTCTTCCCTGCGTGTCCTTACGAGGCAAGATAAAGGTTGACGAATGCTGTGCCAAGTGCCATCCAGTGGAAAGACGGGCTTGTAGAAACGTCATAGTGTTCATGTTATTCACTCCATCTGATGCCATGCAATTTCTGACCCTTCTCCCAAGCAAAACTGATCACGGGAAGTAAACATTTTGCATTAATTCAGGACATTGAGGCAGCAACAGCAGTGTAACTAAAGAACCTCAGGAAAGAGGACCTGCAGAGCTGCTTCAGAAAGTGGCAAGAGCCGCGGGCTGCTTTATTTGAAGCAAGAGGCGGTGTTTTGGACAGATTAATGACAATGTGTCCATTACTGTAATAAAGAGTTTCCGAACATGTACACTGCATTTTCCTTATCACCGCTCACATTCCACACAGGAGGAGATGCTGTTAAGTCTTCCAGACTTGCCAGAGTGTTTCAGGGCAGCGGCGGAGGTGGAGCTGGAGCGCAGGGCTTGGGGCTTGAGGCAGAAGGAGCATTTGTAGAACATGCACAGCGGGACACATGAATGTGTTTGGGGGTGAGGGAGACTGGCAGGAGGCGCCGGGTCAAATCACGGGAGCCTAGTGCTCCAGGAAGAGGGATCGGGAATTTGTCCTGATGTCGGTGGGAGCCTCTGCTGGGCTCTGAAACAGGAACATTAAGTGACCAGCAACCCATTTCAGAAAGGTCACTTCCACTGTGATCCTGAGAATGGATTTGCAAGTGAAAAGAGGGAGGAGAAAAGCAGGAAGTACAGTTGCAGGACTTTACCTGAGTTTGGGATTTGGGGGCCTCTTCCGACTCTTCCCACCATCTCCAGAAGTTACGCTGGGGTTTTAAGGAAAAAATGCCAGAGGGCGAAGTGAGCAGGTGTGAGTCACACAGCCCTGGTGGCAGCCTGGTCTGCCTTGCATCTGTCATTGATTCACCCAGTCATGGTTTGTTTTTGTTTTTGTTTTGTTTTGTGAGGCAGTTAACATGCGCCTCCTGGTTTTCTCAAGCTCATCCCTGGGCCGCAGGGCCGGATGGAGGCTTCGATCTCAGGCCTTATCAGCATCCTCCTAAGAGTAGACATTGGTCTCACACTGACATGTGGGGACTATAGCATCTCTGGGGACTTGAACTTGTACCTGTGTTACCAGAACTTTTGCTGCACTGTACAAGGGAGCTTACCGTGCCAGAGGGTGTATTCTCTGTGTGGACCTGTCAAATAGATCCTGATCATCTAGTCTAGGGACCACAAACAGAAGCCTTGTGGGCCAACACTTTGTGCCACCTGGTTTTGCACCTTGTTCTGAGAGAAAGATGAGTTTCCTAGTTGGATCAGCCTCCCAGGGTGTGTGTTAAACCTGCGCATTCAGAATTGGTCATCCAGAGAGCACCCTGTGTGGCTTCTTGTGGCTCAGCTCTTCCAATTCTGGTGGCTCGAATCATCCAGCAGAGATGTCAGAATTGGTGTGACACTTCCGCTGACCCACCAGAGCTGGAAGGACAGCCTGTGACAGAAAGGCCAGGAGAAACAGTCGGTGGAGTGCAGGCCTTGGTAGGACTCTTCTTGTTTCCCTGAGTCTTGGCCCCAAAGCATTTAGTCTATCCGTTCCCTCATATTTCTTCTACATATTGTTTTCCTGCCTAAGCAGAGAGAAGGCATCACCTAGAATAACATGTACATTTGTCTCCTTTTAGTTACAGGTACTTCATAGTTCCCTAGATCCTGCCTGAAAATTTAGCCACTCTGTCCCCTCAGAATATTAAAATTCTTTTCTCCATTGGGGCCTTTATTATTTTGAAATCCTCCTATTTTGAACACTGGCCTGACACTCTTCACCTGTGGCCTGTGACATCCTTTCTGACTACTAATGGGCATGGCTAAGTGAACATTTATCCACTCAGCAAGTGTTGACCGAGAGCCAGCTCCCTGAGGTGGTGGCCAGGCAGTGCCCCAGGAGCGGGAGATATCAGAATGGAAAGGACACTGCGATGGCTCCCAGAGCTGTCAGCTGGGACATACAGACTCTTAGAAGGTTCTAGAACAAAGCAAGACCTACTCTGTGGCTTGCATAAGGATGCCCAGAGGGTCATGGGTGGAAGAAAGAGGGAAAGGTGGAGGGAGGAGGGAATGCCTCGCGGCCTCGGGCTCAGTTGAGCGCCCTGTTCATCCTGCTTTGCTTTTGTTCCTTGCAGGCCAAGGCCCAGAAAGTCCTGCAGAAGCTTGCTGATGTGCAGGAAATATTTCACAAGAGAAAAGAGAGCCTCATGAAGCTGGCAGCCAAGCAGACCCGCCCGGTGCAGCCTGTAGCCCCCCATCCTGAGTCCTCCCCGAAATGGGTGTCACCAAGGCCCAGCCAGCCCTCTGTTTTCGGTAGGTCGTGGTTCCACGGTGCCTTCTCGAGCTGAGATTGCACTTGTCTGAGACGGAAGAGGGTCAGTGCTCTGCCCAGTGTGATTTAAAACAAACTAGAGACATGGCATAGTGCAGGTACTGAACGCTTATAAGTACTGCCGGAGCACTGAGGACCGGAGGCAAGGAGAGGCTCCTGGTCTAGCAGTAGAACTGTACAGGCACGTAAGCAATGTCAGCATGAAATTGAGTCCGTTGAGAGTGGTAGAGGCCTATGATTTATTACCAACAGTGCTAAAATCAGTTCTTTGAAAATATTTGTTAAAGTTTAGTAAGTCCTATGCCAGTCCCACACGGTCTTGGTTACCGTAGCGTAGCTTCTTAGCAAACCTTAGGATCAGGTCTGCAAGTGCTCTTTTTCAAGATTGTTTTGGCTCTTTTAAGAGCTGTTCATCTCCTTATAAACTTCAGAATCACATTTCAGTTTCTGCTAGGATTGGGACTAGGAATGCGCTCAATCTGTGGATCAATTCGGGGATAACTTGTCTTACTGCCGTTGAGTCTTGCAATTGATAGTATGAGGGAATTCTCACCTACCTATGTCATCTTTCGGTTCCCTCAACAATGTCTTAGTCTAGAGTACAAAGGTCTTAAGCATTTCACCCATGGGCAATGGAATGCACTCTGTGTAGCTCACACAAAATGCTTACCCACAAAGCACAAGCCTATAATCTGTGAGTGGGGCCGGCTTCCCTTCTGCTCCAGCCTGTGTGCTTGCTCGCCTTTGCCCTGCTGTAGCAGGACCCACAGTACACTGCCAAGCAGAAGTGGTGAGGAGCGACATTCCTGTCTTTTCCCAGTATTAGGGAAGGAGATCATGCTTCATCTTTAACTGCAAATTTTCCAAATATGGCTTAGGGTCAGATTGAGGAGTTTCCCTTGGATTCCTAGTTTGTTGAGGGTTTTTATCGCACATGATGGCTCACTTGTTCAGAGGCTTTTGGCCTGGAGACAATTGCCGGGCTTTTCTCCATGGAATCCACTGGTAATATATAGTAGAGGACAAGGATTTGTTTTCAAATGATAAAGCAGGTGTATGTTCCTGGTATGAACTACTCTTGGACATGATGTATATGCCATTCAGCATGTGTATTGTGAAGTTGTATTATTAAACACTTATATGCATAATTTTTATGTCTTTCATTTTGTTTTTGTTTGTCTGTCTTTTTGAGACAGTGTCTCACTATGCAGTTCAGGCTGGCCTTGAGCTCACTTTGTAGCCCAGGCTGACCTCGAACTCACAGCACTCTTCCTGCCTCAGCAGGAGGGATTACAGGATGGCTTTCATTTTGTATCTTCCCACTTACCTCTAGTAGTGCACTTTATGCCTGCGATATAAGTCAGAGAAGTGGAGCAGTCAGTCCATCATTGTTTTATACTTAACGTTCACATGAAGCACATTTTTCTTCTTCTGTCTTTATGTTTGCAATGTATTTTTGTAGGAACATATATTTATGTCTTCCTTCTTAATGTATTTTATTCACACCTGGCTTTTGATTGAAGTGTTTAATCTATTTATATATGATATGATTATTGAAATAGTGGAATTCAAAATAACTACTATTTCGTTATTCTCTGTCTCTCTCTCTCCCTCCCTCCCTCCTTCCCTTCTTCCCTCCCTCTCTCCATCCCTCCCTCCCTCCCTCTCTCCATCCCTCCCTCCCTTTTTCCATCCCTCCCTCCCTCTTTATGTCTCTCTGGGTTCTGAACCAAGGTTCTTAGCCCAACTTTAAAACTTTGCTTTTTGAGACAGGGTCTTACTAAATTATAGAGGCTGGGCTCAAACTCCCAATCTCCTACCTCAGCCTCCCGGGCCATGGGTATCACCAGGCTGCGCTGCTGTGCCTGGCTCGGGTAGTTTTTAATGCTTATTTTCCTCTTTTTCTGCCTTTTTTGAGGCCAGCAAATATTTTTTACTGTTCAGTTTTAATTCCTTGATTGGCTTATTAGACTAATTCTTTAGAAATTATCATTTACTTCCTTCATGCGTCATAATCTACCTTGAATTACCATAAATATAGGAAGATTTATGCCCTCACAACTCAAGCTCAGCCTGGGAAAGTTAGCGACTTAGTGGGACCCTGTCTCAAAATATCTGAAAAGAGGCTGGGGATGTAGCTCACTGCAAAGGCGTAGCGTTCATGCCGCAGAACCAAATAATGTAAGTCATACATAAAATAAATTTTAAAGGGGTTGGAAATATAGCTCATATTCTGACATGGAGCTGGTATTAAAATTTGTAGATAGTCGTATATATTTTAATGAAACTAAGAAAGAAGAGACAGACAGACAGACTTCCCCACAGCTTATTTTAGCACCTCACCATCCCTAACGTCCTTTACCCTCCATGCTGATCTGAAGCAGCATCTCGCCATCCCCAGCGTCTCCCCCTGGATAAAGTGCTGTCATTGGCCTCTCTTGCTGGGAGCCTTGTTGGCAGCAGTTTGTTTCAGTTTTTCATTATCTGCAAATTATGGGGTCTCTTGGTAATCCTCCAGTTAGTAAAATTTCTTGTCCTCTGTCTCCCATTGTGTATTCTATGAGTTAGAAGTGATCATTTTCCTCCATTAGTGTATGCTTGCAATATATGTACTACTAGACTCTGTATTAGTGCATGTGTGTGATAAATACACCCATCACAGGGAATTGACATGTATCCCCCCTTCTCCCCTCCCGTTCCCCCATTTCCAGGTGCCCTTCCCACCTCACAGTCTATTTCCCTGCTTTCTCTTGCCCTTTTTTTTTTTTTTTTCTATATCTTTTAGGGAAGGGTCTACAGGGCGTTCAGGGTCTCACTAGTAGATCAGACTCCTAGTGATTCTCCTGTTTACAGCCTTGCAAGTGCTGGGATTACAGGCACATGCCACAATACCCAGTCTCAATCGCAGCCTCAGTGTGGTCTGGGGGTGGGGCCAGCACAGCAGGCCCAGGGATCAAACCCCCGGCCCCTGCACCTGCTTGCAGGTGCTTTAATCCACTGAGCTATTTGGCTGGCCCTTTCTCTCACCCTTTCATTTTGCTCTTTAAATTATGTATATTTTGCTTTCTCATATACATAAACTCATGTGACATTTAGCCTTCTGTGCCTGACATGTCACTCAGCTCTGAGGTCTCAGGAGGCACCCATTTTCCTACAAGGGACTCCAATTTATCTCTATGGCAGAGCTGAGTTCCACTGTATATAAATACCACATTTTCTTTATCCATTATCTGTTGATGACCATATCAGCTGCTTCCGAGACTAAGCCTTTACAAATTATGCTTCTATGAGCAAATTATGCGTGCATCACTGGAATGCGTTGTCTTTTACTGTTGGAGAAGACACCTAGAAGGGGAATATGAGTCAAATGGAATTTCTATTTTTAGCTTTTTGAGGAATCTCCACACTGATTCCCATAGTGACTGTTCTGGTTTACATTCCCACCAGCAGTGTAGAAGGGTTCCTTTTTCCCCAATAAGGTCAAAAGCATTTTTTGTCTTTTAAGTCCTAATGATGGTCATTCTTTCTGGAGTAAGATGGAACCTCGGTGTTGTTTTGATTTCTTTTCTTTTTCTTTCTTTTTTTTTTTTTTTTTTGGCAGAACCGGGGATTGAACTCAGGCCCTTGCACTTGCCACACAACTGCTTATTCTGCTGAGCCATCTCCCCGCCCCTTTTTTATTTTTTGTTTCGTTTTGATTTCTATTTCCCTAATACCCAAAGATGCTGAACATTGACTGTGTGTACTTCTCTTTTTGAGTAGTGTCTGTTCATTTCAACTGCTCTTTTTCTGGTTGGGTCTTTCAATTTAGGGGGAGCCTAATTTGGGGGGGATTCTTTATTCTAGATATTAGTCTTCTGCATAAGGAATAGCTGGCAAAAAAAAAAAGTAATTTTCTTTTTTTTAAATTTTTATTTGTGTGTGTGTGTGTGTGTGTGTGTGTGTGTGGCCAGCTCAGCCCACCAGGGGGCGGGGCTGGCTGGCATGTGGTGCTGGGGGATTGAACCGCGGTCCCTGTTCTTTGCTAAGCTTGTTCTAAGTAGGTGCTTTAGACCACTGAGCCATCTCACCAGTCCCAGTAATCTTCTTTCTGTAGGTTTTTCTCCACCCTGTTGGTTTTTTCCTATGCATTTAGATGCTTTTTAACTTGATGTATTCCCATTTGCTGATTGCTAGTGTTGTCTTTTGGCACTTGGAGTTCATTCACAAAGTTCTTGCCTAGACTTCTGTTAAGAATTTTCATCTGCTTTATGTTGCAGCAGACTGAGTGTTTCTGTTTCTATGTCTAGGTCTTTGATCTGTTTTGACTTCATTCTGGTACAAAAGAAGACATGCAGATCTAGATTCGTTCTTTCATATGTGGATAACGAGTTTTCCTAACACTGTTTGTTAAAGAGGCTACCTTTCCTCCAGCATATGTTTTTTCACTCCTTAATCAAAAGTCGTATGGCTGGAAGTACCTGAGGTTGTTTGTGTCCTCAGCCCTGTTGCTTTGAGCCATGTGTCCATTTTTGTGCCTTACTGCGCTGTTTTTTCTTTTAACCACCATAGCTTTTTTTTTTTTTACATTTATTGTGTGTGTGTGTGGCCAGCTCAGCCCACCAGGGGATGGGGATGGCTGGCATGTGGTGTTGGGGGATTGAACCGCGGTCCCTGTGCTTTGCTAAGCTTGTTCCAAGTAGGTGCTTTAGACCACTGAGCCATCTCTCCAGCCCCACCATAGCTTTGTGATACAACTTGAAATCTAGGATTGTGATGCCTCCTGCTTCGCTGTAGGTGCCCAGGACTGCTTTTGCTATTCTGGGTCTCTTCTGGTTCCATATAAGTTTTAGGACTATTTTTTATGATTCTGAGAAGAACCATGTTCAACTGGGGAGATGGCTCAGTGGAATAAGCGCTTCCCTGGCAAGTGCAAGGGTCTGAGTTCAATCCCTGGTTCTGCCAAAAAAAAAAAAAAAGAAGAAGAAGAAGAAGAAGAAGAAGAACCATGTTAATATTTTGATTGCAATTGCATTAAGTCTATGTATCATTTTTGGTGATGTGGCCACTTTGACAATATTGGCTCTGGCTATCCAGGATAAGGAAATGTCTTTCTGTTTTCTCTTGTCCCCTTCAATCTGTTTGCAGAGAGCTACACTTTTTTTGTATTTAGCACAGGGTCTCACTACGTAGATCAGACTCACTGCTCCCCCTGTTGTCATCCTCCCAAGCGCTGGGATTACAGGCACACCAGTCTCGATCGCTGTCTCAGCACACCCCGGTGGTGGGACCGGCACAGCATACCAGGGATGGAAGAGAGCTACACTTTTTGTTATAGAGGTCTTCCACTCCTTTGGTTAGGTTGATTTATAGTACTCAGTTTTCTAACCTATTGTGAATAGTGTTGTTTTCCTAATTTCTTTCTCCATGGTTCATGGTTGGTACATAGGAACACTACTGATTTTTGTGTACTGATTCTATGACCTGCTGAACTTATTCTTGGAGGCTTGGGGTGGAGTCTTCAGGATCTTCTTTGTAGCGGATCACATCATCAGTGAGTAAGGTAGTTTGACTTCTCCCTTTCCTTATGTATCTCTTTTATTTCTTTCTCTTTCCTGATTGCTCTGGCTAATGCGTCAAGTGCTACAATGAACATAATGGTGACAGTGGGCCAGCTTATCTTATTCCTTATAGAAATAATCCTTGATAGCAGTGTACTGTACTTCTTTTCTGAAATTTTCTATGAAAACACACTGTCCCTTGTGTACACATACACGTACACACTTAGACATATTTGCACATCCTAGCACAGACACACACACACACGCACACACACACACACACACACCCTTCTTGGATCACGGGGGACAGGCCTGGGTTCTCCTGGCCGCTCATCCTTCCTCTAACTAAATTATGTTCATGTCTCTGACTTGGCCTCTTTCACGCCTTCAAGATACCTGCCTGTTACCAGTGAAGCAGGAACTATAGTTTGTTTTTCAGCTTTTCAGATGTGAGACTCACAAGACTAAGGACCTTCCCAAGTTAAACAGATCTTTGTGTCTGAACAACTTGTCGTTACCTTGGGGCAGGCCACCAGCTCATTTTGTAGAACAATTCTACACTTCTGTTTATGGCCAGGAACCCGAGGTGTGGACTCAGGCAGGGCATTTCCGGGACTCGCAAACACAGCGGTCTGATTGCTCAGGAACCGAGTCTGTGCCAAGGTGGGCAGGGTACTTCCCCAGTGTAGAGAAGTGGCCAGAAGGAACTTAGAGACCCGAGCTGCCTGCCCAGCTGGGATTCCTGCCAGGTGCTGCCTTGAGCCCAGCATTTAACATCTCTACAGTGTATAACAACTGTGGAAATGTGTCTGATGCCACATGTGTGTAGCGACAACTAGAACGTGTTGCATTCTTCAATGATTTACACACTGCACATGCACTAACGCACACCGCCTAAAGAACATCCCCCTGCGTAGGTTTTCTCATTATTTCCCACTTTGCAGATGGAGAAACTAAGGCACAGAAGTTGCTACGCTCGCGTGTTTTATGCACAGAAGAGCAAGATGTGGATGCTGGCGGTGTGGTTTTTGCAGCCTTCCTTTCCTTTGCTTTACCTGTAGTGCCTGTTAGTCACAAGTGTCACCCATTATGGGGTGATGTGTTGGTAGCATCCGATTATAACGCCTGAAAGAGCTCACTTTACAGAGATCCCGCTGAGAGCGAGGGTCCCGTGTGTTAGCCCATGTCATTAGGCAGCTGCTGAGTCTCGGGAGAATTCTATGCACACGGGTGATGGCAGCAACACTGACTCAGAATGCCCCTGCCTTCCGTGCTTGTAACCTTCACCCCCAACACCGAGAAAACTGGCAGAGCATGTTAGGAAGCCACAAGACCTCAGGGCTCCTCAGGGCTCCCCAAGTTCCAGTCTTACTACCAGTCTTACCTGGAGGAAGGGTGTCCCTCAGCTGTCTGAGAGCCCTGCACAGGAAACAGAGGGACAGGGTGACTGAGAGAAGAGAGCAAAAGCAAGACAGCCCAGGCCCCTCCTGCCACCACTAACAGATGCTACTACACTGTCATCCCAGCCACTAGTAAGTGCGTACCCATCAGTTCTGGGGTCCAACCACAGTACCATCCGGCTAGGGCAGTCACGGACATCACAGTATGACTGGGGGGAGGGGGAGTATGTTAAAGAAGACTATAAGGAAATATACCAAATGATTGTGTCTAAGTGGTCAGATTTTAGCATTTTTCGAATTTTCCATAACAAGCACAAATTCATCACTTTCAATATGGAAAGATATATTTAACTTCTAATCCAAGCACAGTGTTGAGCGCAGCCACAGACAAATTATGCCTGCTGAAATAGCAGTGAAAGAAGCATCTGGCAGCTCGTACCATCATGGGGGACTTTGAGAGGACAGCAGCCATCTAGTTAGGCCTTAAGACTAGGAATGATGTCAGGTGTAGTGGCGCAGCCCGTAACATCAGCTCTCAGGAGGCTGAGACAGGGGCATCACTGTGAGTTCGAGGCTGACCTGGGCCACAAAATGAGTTCAAGGCCAGCCTGAACCATCTAGCAGAACCCTGTCTCAAAAAGAAAAAAAGACTGGGAATGATAGAAACTCTGTTGGTTTTACCACATCAAGTTTACTGTCTGTTGTGGTTTGGTGCTTCACATGGGGTGGGTGTGACTTTCGTCTCTGGCGCAGATGTCAAGGCCCCTGGGATCGGGGGTGCTATTTCTTTTCTTTTTATTCATTTATTTATTTATTTTATCATTTATTTATGTAATTGGTACAGGGTCTCACAGCTCGAACTCGTAGTAATTCTCTGGTCTCAACCTCCCCAGCTCTGGGATTGCAGGCGTGGGCCCCCATGCCTGGTTTCCTTACCATGCCTGGTTTCCGTGGCCCGCTCAGCATGCCCAGGGTTGGGGCCAGGACCAGCACAGCATGCAGTACCAAGGATTAAAGCTAGGACCTTGCACTTGCCAGGCAGGTGCTTAGACCGCTGAGTTATCTCCCTGTCCTCTTTTCTGCCTCTCTCCTTTATCCCCTATTTCATCCCCTACCTAGGAAATCACTACAGAAGCTCAGTTCAGCTTTGTCAGTCAAGCGCACCGACGCAGCGGTCCAATGACTTGTCCACGTCAGCAGGTGCTCTGAGCTGTGAGTGATGCATCCAATAGCCAAACTAAGGGCATGTTCTCTCTGTCCCTGCAGCCGCTCCGCAAAGATCGGCTGAGGAACCTGCTCTGGAGACAGATGTGGCCGCCCCAGAAAAGGAAGATGATGAGATGAAACTTGAAGTGAAGGTAACATCACCTTGTACAGATAGAAATGTCTGATATGAGAGCTCACTGCTGTCATTACCAGGAAATCAGCCAGTCGTGTTCCCTACCACGCCCTGAAGATGTGTCCATGATGGTGTGTAGCACGGACCAGGGCTTTTAAGAGCTCAAGGAGGATGTGTTCTTCTTTTTCTTTCTTTTTAATTGCAACTAGAAATGAATGCCACTTAATCATGCACATGACTGCTGGTAGTCATGTTTGATTGAGGAAAAAGTCATTTTATTCATCCCTATAATCTGACTCATAATTAAGGTTGGGAAAGCAGTGTGTACTAAAAGAGCACAAATGTTGCTTAGATACACACACAAGCATACGCACACAACGAACTCTGAATAAGCTCAGTGGATTATGCCAGTATGAATTTCTTGCTATTACACTATGATTGTGTAAGATGCTAACATTGGAGGAGGTGGGGGAAGGGCATGTGAGGCTTCCCTGTGTGTTTCTTTGCTGCCTCATGTGACTATATAATTATTTCAAAATAAAAGAAGTACCAGCTTTGGAATCAGGCAGACTTAGAGCCACGTCCCTTCTCTGAGCCTCAGTTTCAGCGCCTCCCCTCTCCACACCCTACTACCTGACAACTTAGCAAATTAGTGAGAACCTGTCTCAAAAATAAAAAATAAATTTAAATAAACAGCTAAAGATGTCTCTCTGTGGGAAGGTTCTGGGCCTAATCCCCATCGCTGAAAAACAAAGCACACCACAGCAACAAAAGACAGCTTTTGACACCCAAGACTGTTTCAAATCTCAAATGGAAATTGAAAAATTCCCTGACACTATCTAGCTGTAAACAAGCAGTGTGTTTACAAACCCAATTAAAATGAATTATGATGGAAAATAGTGTTCAATTTTTTAAAAATTTGATTACAGTAGGAGACATTGCCATTAATCCCTGTCAGACCCCCACCTCGTTTCAAGCACACTCCTCCCACCATTCCTCCCCTTCCTGAAGCAGCTCTAGAGGGCCTTCTCTGTGAGGGTCTTCATTTGCGCTGTCGTGGCTTCCTCCGTGTCCCTCCCATGGTCACTTTGACTTTGCCAAAGAACCAGAAGTTACGAGGTCCCGAATCTGGTGAGCGGGGTGGCGGAGGACACATTGTGATGTCTCTATCAGCCCCTTTCCGCTAGGTGGTACTCAGCTGTAGCAGCCACCGTATTTTTATCACACTCCCTAAAGCCTTCCAGAAGTGCTTCAAAGAGCAGCGAGAACAGTGGGATGAGTGCGTTCAAGGAGAGGAAGACAGTGTTGGAAGCATTAACGGCCACGTGTCTCTTGCTGTCATTTGTCCTACATAGATGCATTCCCTGTGTGTGTATTTTGATCGCCTCTTGAGTGCGGATGCCCCGCGATCCAGGAACAGTTCCTTCCCCCACATCCCCGAAAACCCACCATCCAGCCAGACCGGGCTCTGGGCTCAGCAGGCCATGAGCTCAGCGGCGCTTCAGCAACATGGGATCCATCCGCTGCACAGAAGCCACCAGCTCCACGCCCAGCAGGAGCCGGGCAGAGAGCAAGTCAGGATTGAGTCCTGGCAGATTGCTTAGAGAGAGAGGAAGCTGCATCTGTCTGTCAACTTGTTAGTCACCCTCTTGAACTCAGGACAGATTAGGATATTTTCAGTATATTCTGTGATTGGAGCAGTTGCATCACCGTGTCTTCTGACATTGGGAAACCATTCGCAATTTCATGCCGCATGATCAGCCATGGAGCAAAGGAAGTAGTAATCTTTTGAAATGGGCAAAGCTAATGCAACTGTACCTGACTAGAAACTCATGATGTGCACGGAGTCATTAAGTAACACTCAAAAGGTTTCACTGCGGTCATCTTCAAAACCAAACAAGGAGGGCCGGTGACATAACTCAGCAGACCAAGCACCTGCCTGGCAAGCTCAGGGATGGGGGTTTGATTCCCCAGCACCAGCTGTAATCCCAGCTGGGGAGGCTGAAAACAGGAGGATCACTAAGAGTCCAAGCTACGTAGTGAGATGCTGTACCAAATACTTTTTTAAAAAAGTGGGCCTGTCCTGTGCTGTACCTGGGTCTTAGGAAAAACATCATGTCTGAAGGCGAGGATGCGTCCTTTGCACCAAATCCCAGATCTGGCCCCTGAGCTCATATGCTCTCACCCTTAATTCATGGCAGGCTTTTAGCCCGATTCCCATCGTGGGCCTCACTTGAGTCATCTTCAGACAACATATTGATGGCCTGCACACTCTAGACAATGCCATGAGAATTTTAAGCACATGGAAGCTCTCTATAAAAACAATTCAAATTGGAGTTAATTAGTTCAGTAATTATGAATGGTAAATATGAAATCTGTTCTTTTATTTGTTGTACAAAATAGGTAAGTAGGGATAGGTCCCGAATCAGAGGCCTATGGACTTGGAAGGCATTGAGGAGGGACCAAGGGGCACTGACCCCTGGGCTTCTGGTCCCTTCCTTCCCCTGCTGTACTGCTTATGTGATGCAGCCGCCATGGGCAACCCATCCTCCTGCAAGGCTGCCAGCTCTGCCTGCAGACAATTCACATTGAAGTGAGCGCAGCACGCATCGAAAGTCACGCTTCTGTGCTTTCATTGTTTCTCTCCTTCCTGTTGACTCGCCTGTGTGTTTAATGAAGGGCTTTTCCTGCAACTGCATGTATGTTAACAGTCAAGGTGGTGGAGGAAACAGGATAGGAACTCCGGTTTATAAAGACCATGGCAAGAAGAAGACATAAAAAAAACATAAAACCATGAACAACGTGAATAGGAAGAAAGTGGATTATGCACAAAATCTCAAGATCCTAGACAAAAAAGTTAATTTAGGACCAATATATGTGATTTGTGTTTTATAAGCTGGGCTGTATTACCAGGGAATTGTTATTTTAAACTATAAGGAGACTAACAAGGAGGGGAAAGGTGTAGGTTCATGTTTGTGTGGACCAGAGGTACTTAAAGGGGACCAAAGCTGGTGATGAACACCAAAGGCGATGATGGACAGATGACCGGGGTGGGCGGAGCATGGCTCTGGCTCTAAGCAGCAGCTCTGCTACCCTCTTGGCCTTTGACCTAGAACTGGAATATGAAATGACTCCCCAGCCAGCGCAGCAGACTGAGTCATCTGTTACGATGCTCCGTCTCACCCTGAAGAGTAAATACCTAGAGAAAAAATAGCTGTGAACCAAAACCGTTCATGCCGGCTACTAGATTCTCTGCTGCTGCTTCCTATCTACAAGTAAGAACCTGGCGTGGTGGGCCAGTGCCCAGCGGAACCACAAGGACACTCGCAGTGGAGCCAGCCTTGCTGCACCAGTTCTTGATACAGGACAAGCCAAAACTGATTAAGGTGGCTGAGATTGTCCCCAGGGCATCTGGCAATGGTGCCACTGTGTGCCAGCCTTTCTGGGAAAGCCCAGAGGTGGGAGAGACTCGTTGTGGTTCCTGGCAATGATGCAGCTGTTTCTCGATCTTTATACCACGCCAGGATGCTGACAGCATGTGTCGCCGGGGCAGTGTTCCCTGGCTGTCACACCACAGCCTCTTCTGGGGACAAATGCCAGAAGCGGATGAGAACTCCTCTTTCCTAAGTTAGACCCAGAGGGTAAGAGGAAGAGCGAACAAAAGGAAGTTCTGCACACCGGTCCAAACTCACAGTAGCAGCGGCTTTTCCGGGCTTCTGAGCCAAAAGGCTCTCCCATCTAGAAACATGTGGATATTGTAAATCAGAGGCCAGAGGGAAGGGAAACGTGAGAGGAGTGTTGCCAGCCCTGACAAAGGCCAGAGATTATGCCGGCCGCAGGGACCTGCCTCCTCCCTCCCTCAGAAACTGTGAGGGGGACAAAGTTGCCGGTGTTTTGTCAGTGGTGCTGCTGAGACTATAATAAGTTATAGTTCCCTAAGAAAACTAGAAAATAGCAGGGCTGGGACTTAAAACTAGTGGTTTATTAACCTAGCTGTTTATTTTTTTCCCTAACCTGAATTTACCTCTTTGATTATACTTAATCTACTAAACCTGCAGTTCACTTAGCCTCACACACCCTAAATCTCTCTTCGGCAAGATAAAGATTAACAAATACTAGCAACTTCATGGGTGGTTAATTCAATGTGAAACACATGAAAAGCACCTAGTGGGAGGAGGGTGCCTGACACAGACCAGGTTCTTAGTAGGTTTTAATTCTTCTTTAATCCTATGTCTGTAGACAGAATAGTCTGGGTAAAAACCGAAAAGACACTGAAGGAAGATGAGCTTCAGGCCTTAAATGGGATTCTTCTAGTATCTGAACCATTTTGCCAAAGGATACAAGATCAAAGGAGGTAACTCACTCCTCGTCTTCTCACCGCTGTGACTCCCACAGCTGGTATGCAAGTTGCCTGTCTACAGGGTGACTGCCTCGATTGCGAGCATGTCTCCACACCTGCCTTCTTGGGCCAGAGCCGGCAGGAGGCCGCCAGAGGCAGCTGGCGACCAGGCCTCTGCAGTTTCCAGGCTGAAGATTCTCCACGTTTTGTGAGCCCCACACTTTGGAGATGCTCCATAATGCAGGTTCCCAGGCACTACCATAAAAATTTCAAATCAAGGAGGTGTGGTTTTAGGTGCAGGAACCTGAATTCTTCACTTGGATATTTGGGACAAGGATCACACTTCTCTCTCACACTGCTGCATTCAGAGGTCATGGAGGCTTGGGATAAAGGAGAACTCAGTAGCTTGGATCTGGTCTCGTGGGGGTAGTGTAGACTTCAGTGTTTAGAGGAGCCAAGTGGTGATTATATTAAATATGAGAATTTATGTTTACTGAGGAAGCTGAATAAGAAAAAAGACAGAATACCATTAAGATCTGTGGCCTTGACCTTTGCCCCATAAAACTTGACATGGCTATAATATTTGATAGGTCTTAATTGGGGTGCTTATTTAGATCAATTTACTATATTTTAGGGCATCTGTAGTGTATCCTATGAGAATTATTTTATTATTGAGCCTA